TAGGTTCCCCTGCAGCTGGGTTAGGAGCTCTGGAAGTGTAGTGCCTAAGGCACTTGACTACTAACAAGAGGGCTGGCAGTTTAAACCCAGCAGCCACTCCTTGGAAGGAAGGTTGGGCAATATACTTCCATAGTGATACTGCCTGGGAAACCCAAGGAGGGGTCGCTATGAGTCGAGTCCAACTTGACAGCAAAACAACAACAACAAGAAGAAGCAGCTGGGTTGCTGCCTGAGTGGTGAGCAGCTGGTAGCTGGCACTCCTGGTACCCTGCAAAGGCTTCAGTCCAGTCTTGACTGTACCACAAACTTGCTGCATGGCCATGGGCAAGTCATGAATTATCTCCAAACTCTGATTTGCTTGTCTGCAAAATGGGGATTTTAGAACCATATCTCAAAATGGCATGGAGATTCTCAAGTCACCAAAAAAAAAAAAAAAAACCAGAAAGCCAGCCAGCCAACTAGGCAGGGTGAACATGCTTTTATTGTACCAGAGGTCCTGGACCAGTCCCTGTGTCTCTGGGGAGGGCTTGGGGAGCTCCTAGGTATGGTAGCTGGGAAATTCCAGACCAATGTGGCCACTAAAAATCATAGGAGGCTGTGGGGGCCCTGAGGGGCAGAGGGGGAGTGTCTTCTAATCTAATCACTCTTCCTACCGAGATTCTAGTTCCAGCCAGACCTGCCAGGGGTTTTATTGTATTTGTGGGGACCTGCAGATTTCAATCTTCAGACCCCACAGGGAAGGAATAGGCATTAAGCTAATTTTATTAAATGGCCACAGCTGGCAGTGGGGGGAAGTAGGGGATAGAAGGGAAGATAAAGAAAGTCATTCAAGTCTGCCAGCCATGACAAGGGTCTATACATGGGGCCTGGCTGGGAGGGAGGCCACCCCTCCTTCCTGTCTTCCCAGCTGAGCTAGACTGGGGAGGGGAGGCCAGATGGGACCTTTCCTCACTGTGGAGCCCTGGGAGTCTCCAAGAGGTTCAGCTCATGGCTGCTGCCCAGGGCAGATGCTTGAAAATCTGCCAGGCCTCTGCAGGGCTGGGTAGGAGTAGAGGGACTGGGCTCAGGTGATAAGGGGGGCTGAACTGCCTCAAAGCTCCTTCCTTAGTGCTGCCTTGGAATCCCATATCTTTATGAAATAAGGGGAACTGGGTAAGTGCATTTGTCTCTTCCTAGCTCTGTGACCTTGGCAAGTTACTTAACCTTTTTGAGCTTTAGTTTGCTCATCCAAAATGGATAGGATAATAGCATCCATGTAAAGGGGCATGAGAGCACTTCCTGCAAACCCCTTGCCCCTGCCACATCCATGAGATAATATTTATAAAGTTCTTAATGGTGTCTGACACAGAGTGGGTGCTCTCTAAATATTAGCTATTTTTATGACATTATTATGACAGCCTATGACAGTCATGGCCCCAGTTAAGAAGGTAAGGGAGGCAGTAGCAAGCCAAGAAAACTTAGCGTGTTATCGCCAAGGAGAAGGGCTTCTTGGATTCAAGTGCAAGCACAGAATTTAGTAACTGTTTCATATTAGACAAGCTATTTAACCTCTCTAGAAGAAGGGAGTCATTGGATGGTGCAAACAGTGAACATCCTCAGGTGCTAACCAAAAGGTTGGAGGGTCTAGTTCACCCCAAGTTGCCTCGGAAGAAAGGCCTGGTGATCTATTTCTGGAAAGTCAGCTACCGAAAACCCTACGGAGTACTGTTCTGTTCTGGCACACATGGAGTTGCTATGAGTTGGAATCAACAGCAACTAGTTGGTTGGTTAGAAGAAGAATAAGATCTACCCATCAAACCTCTCAGCGTTGTTGGAGGAACTAGGAGATGACATACCTGAAAAGATTGTGCAAACTTGATAGTGATTTATTTATAAGTAATAAAAGCTATGTTTATTAAGATATACATGGATTTAGACTCATAGTGATGCTATGTAACACAGTAGGACTCTACCATAGGGTTTCCTAGGCTGTAATCTTTATGGAAACAGATCACCAGTTCTTTCTCGCACAGTGACTCTGGCTGAGTTCAAACCGCCAAACATTTGGTAACAGCCTAGCATTTAACTATTGCACTACCAGGGCTCCTTAGCACATATTTTGTATCTCTTCAATCCTCAGTCAAGTGAGATAGGTCTTAACTTACATTTTATGGATGAGAAAACTGAGGCCTAGAGATGAAGTACTGGATCAAGGTCAATCAACCTTTAGTGTAAAGCTAATTCTTTTCAATGCTGCCACTAACCCAGAACTGGATTTGGGAGGGTGACTTGCTCAGGATCTCACACACAATGGCACTAGGACAAGAATTTAGGTCTCCTGGTTTAAAGTTTGCCATACGTGTGGAATGCTAAAATCATTTTCAGGGATGCAAAATGGAATTTTTTCCACCATGGAAGATGATGATATATGGGCCGCTTTCCATTCCAGCTGCCCACGTCCACTTAGGCTGTGCTGGCCATTGAGCCCTAGTAAGAGTTGAATTGTATCCCCTCAAAAGGTATGTGGAATACTATACAAAAACATTATTCTACATCCTACTTTAGTGAGTAGCAACTGGAGTCTTAAAAGCTTGCAAGCGGGCCACCTAGATCCAACAATGGGTCTTGTCTCGTCCAAAGCAAAGAAGAATACAAAGACACATGGAAACAACTTGTCCAAGAGGCTGGTAGACCATGAGATCCTCACCCTATATGACCATGAAACCAAAAGAACTAGATGGTGCCTGGCTGCCACTGAGTGAGGGATTGGTGCAAGAGATCCTGGATAGAGTGGGAGAACAATGTGTAACAAACCCCAAAACCATGGGGGGGAAAAAAAAGACCAGGTTTGCTGGTCTGACAGCCTGGTGAGACCCCTGAGACAATGGCCCTTAGTTACCCTTCAGGTCTGGAGCTAAACTCATTCCATACTTCATACCCCTTCTTCTCCATTTCAGGCCCAGCAAGTGATTTTGTTGTTGTTGTTATGTGCCGTCGAGTCGGCCCCAACTCATAGCGACCCCTCCTTGGGTTTCTGAGGCAGTATCACTACGGAAGTAGGATTGCCCAACCTTCCTTCCGAGGAGTGGCTGGTGGGTTTGAACCGCCAGCCTTCTGGTTAGCAGTCAAGTGCTTTAGCCACTATGCTACCAGAGCTCCTAGCAAGTGATTTATTCCCCTGTAAATACTTCAATCTGAAAGTGTAACCTCTTGCTGTCAGAGGGAATGCAGGAGTTGCAAATGCATTCTAACGTTAGTCTGAACAAACTGAATATGAAAGGGGAATTTACAACAACGTATTATTGATCCCTTTTCAACAGTAACAGACATCTTTTGGGGTTAGCTGGGATTTTAGATGATCTCCCCAGCCTCCAGCCCTGGCCCCATCTAAAGTAAATCTCTTACATCTTGCATCTCCATTCCTACACTGCAGTTTACCACTGCCTTCTAACATGGAAATGACCTCTCATCCAGGGACAAATGTGCATCTTGGAGAGAAATGGACTCAGCAGCATGAGTGACAGCTTAGCTCCTTGTTCCCTGCCCCTACTCCTGCAGACACCACCCCCTTCTGGGGTCCTGCCTCCTCTAAAACTTCTCCCCACTGGTCCCTTTTTCTACCTTGAGCCTGGCCTTTTCTTTGGTGTTCTTGGACAAAACTCAGTCCCTATCCCTGAACTGGGCCAGTGTCAGCATCTGTGACAGCCTAAAGGTGATGTTCTACTGGATCAAGGCCAACAGACTACCTCCTTTGGAATAAGAAACCCCCTGGTGGCATGTATGCAGCAGGTGAGCCTGAAGCCAGCCAACCTTGATGATGGTGACAGAAGGGCCAACGGTTGGGGAGATATTCATGGTCTATTTGGGGTTCACCTGGCAGGAGTTTTTAGTGACCAATCATATGAAGGAGTTTTGGTGGCACAGTGGTTAAAGCATTTGGCTGCTAACCAAAAGGTCAGCAGTTCAAACACACCAGCTGCTTTGTGGGAGAAAGAAGAGGCAGTCCGTTTCTGCATAGATTCGAAACATTGCAAATGCTATGGGGCAATTCCACTCTGTCTTACAGGGTCGCTATGAGTCAGAATTGACTGACAGCAGTGGGTTTGGTTTTTGGTTCCAATTATATGGGATAACTGAAGTTAGGAACCCAGCTAAGAAGGTAGTGGAGGAGGATTTGGGACTAAGTGGGGATGGAGAGACTCAGGGACCAGCAGAACAGGATAAGAAGGTCCCACTAGGATGCTGAAGAAAGCAAAGCAGGCCACAGTCTCAGGTCCAGGCCCCCTTTCTTCTTCGTCGTCTTTTTTTTTTTTTTTTTTTTTAAACCATCAACCCTACCTTAAGGGGTAGGGTCTTATCTCAGGCCCAAGCAGAGGCCTGCTTCTGTTTTCCTTTCTGCCCTTCTTTTCAAAGCCACACTTTCTCAGTGTGGATGGGAGGCAGGATCCATAGCCTGCTCCTGCCCCAGGTCCCAGTCCCTTCCTGTAGCTGCCCCCCCCCCCCGGGCACAGACCATAACACTGCTGGATGGAAGTGTTTTTATTATAACTTTGGTCAGACTGGGCGCAGCGGAACTAGGCATTGGGGGCTGCTAGGAAGCTCTCCAGTCCCCAAACCACCCCTCCCCAGGTGACGCCACCCCAGAGCAGGAAGAGTAGCGCATCCAAGTGTGGGAAACGACCTACCACCATGACCATCCCCTGGCTGGGGCGGGATGGTGGGTGTGTATGGTCAGTAAACAGTTCTATTGTACAAATTTACAGGGAGCCAGGGTGTGGGAGGTCAAGATGTCCCTGCCTCCCTCCTCCACCTCCTCCTCAGGACCAAGCGATTGGGAAGAGCTGGCTGGCAGGAGGGCATAGCTGTGGCCCAGGCGGTGGTGACTGGCGGTGACTTAGGCCGGGGCATTAGAGCCGGGGAAGACCTGCAGCCTGGCCAGAGAGCAAAGGGGTGGGAGGGAGACGGGTCATCCTCTGCCCACCCTGGAGGGCAATACGGAGGATGGCAGGGGACACAGGAGCTCAGTCAGAGTAGATGATGAAGCCAGAAAAGGTGCTGTATTTGTTGCTGTTGCCTCCGTGCGCTTTGCCTCCGTCCAGCTTGATGAAGACCTCGTCGCCCGCGTCCAGGTGCAGAATCACGCTGTTGCTGGCGTAGTCGTAGTTCTGGTCTGCGTCCTGGGCAATGGCACTGGCCCGAACCTGTGGGGGCGAGGGTGTCAGAGGGGAGGAATGAGGTGGGGAAAAGGTAGGGAGGAGAAGGAGAGAAGAGGGTCAGGGATGGAAGGGGGCTGTCGGAGGTGAGGCAGCCACATGGGGAGAACCTAAAGGCCTTAAACTTCTGCCACCAGTCCCTTCTCCACCCCACCCCCCCAGCCTGGTCAAAGAAGAGGCATGTCTAATGGGGGCCTGAATTTGGAGTCAACATGGAATCTTCCTCCTTAACTCATCTAAGTTTTACCATCTGGCTTGCTGTACTTCTAGGATGCCCCAATCTGGAACTGTTGTCCTTGCAGACAGGGATGCTCTGGGATCCCAGAGGATGGAAGGACACTTCCTCTGTCATCACCCTTCCTCTCTACTTTAGTAATATTTCAGCCACATCTACCCTCTCTTATGTCAGTGGATAAATACAAAGACTTAAGGTAGCCCCATAGTTCAGGTGGCTGGACCAATGCTAGACTGCTAGCACCCACCCCACAACCAGGACCAGGTTTTTAGGCTCCATGTCTGAAGTTCTTTCCAGAGTCTCTCACACCCACCTACCCACCCACTGCAGCAGTGATGGAAGGCCTGGTCATTCTTTCCACTTCCAAGGTTCAGATCAGGCCTATGTGTTGACCTCCAAGAAGCTATAGCTATACCAAAACAAAACAAACATACAAACAAAAAACCAAAAAGAAAGAAACTAAACACACTGCCATCCAGTTGATGCTGACTCAGAGCAACCCAGAAGAATAGATTAAAATTGCCCCATAAGGTATCCAAGGCTATAAATCTTTACAAAACCAGATTGTCACATCATTTTCCCATAGAGCAGCTGGTGGGCTTGAACCTCCAACCTTCCAGTTAGCAGCCAAGTGCTTAACCACTATACCACCAGGGCTCCTTCCAACTATAGCTATACCCAGGACTATTACCCTCCCTCATCCAAAGTGGACTTCTGGCTCTTGTCTCACCCCAGGGTGGTAGAAAAGAACTGAACTGGAAGACGAGAAACCCAGCCTTACATCCCTCAGTGATCCTCATCTGATCTGATATCCTTGCTGGCCCTGGCCCAGAGTGGGGAGGGGAGACAAGCAGGGTGATGGGGCAAGAGAGCACCAGCTTCTGGAATATGCCACCTACCATCACTTTTGGGGGCTCCAACTATAATTGTAAGGTATTGGGGCGGATGTGTGTGTGTGGTGGTGGATGAATTCCCTCCCAGCATTGCTCTTTTAATAGCTGAGGCCACATAAGCCCTATGTCTTAGGATCTGGGGCCTCTCCAGGATATCCTGGGTGGAGTATGGAAGGGAGAAGCCGTCTCCAGGATTCCTCCCAGGGGAAGAATGCATTGAACAGGCTTCTTTCAGCAGGTTCCTCAAAGGCCCCTCTCCATCCTGAAGGCAGCTCCCCCTAAAGCTGATATTTTGAGCTGGACCAGACCAGGCCAAATTAGGGGAGGGGCCCAGCCTCCCTCCTGGGCAGGAGGCAGAACTGCAGGTCAGCTGTGCCAAAGCTGCTGACTCAGCACCAATGCTGCAAGGCGAGGACCCAACATATCTGCATACACTCTGCTATTTAAAGCCCACATCTCTCCAGCCCCTTCTTTCCCCTCAACTTGTTCTTCCCCAGCCTGGGAAGGAACTGTTTAGGCACTCAGCTGGGAAAATTCTCTTGGTCCAGCTGGGGGAGAAGGAGTAAAATGAGAGGAAGATGCTGTCTATCAATGAGCTCAGTTTCTGTATCTGGAAAATGGAGGAGGAGATCCTGCCTCACCACTGCCACCTTGGTGAAAGCCTTATGATAGTGAAGAAAGGAAACTTGGGGCTTTGAGCTACTAGGGAAGAGCTGAAAACAAGCAGGCAACTTCAGTATTGTTCCCTGGGCCCTAATCCTGGTCGTATTTATTATTACACATACATTTCATTATCTTTGCTAATAAATTACTACTAATAACAATTATTTTTATTACCCAGATTAATTTAGCCTTAACTCATTAAAAGAGTGTGCTCTTTAATAGCCAGATCCATTAGAATACAGTCATCTGTCATGAGGAATCTCCTGGTGATGTGACAGGCATCAGAATCGTTATGCTTATGTTTATTATTTATTCATCACCATGATTGTTGCTGTAATTATCCTAATTATCCACAGAGGCAGGGAGAATTTATGCCTTCCATCCTTAGACAGTGGGGGATCTAGAAATGGAACCCAGGGGTCCTGATTCTCTCTGCCCAGGACCTGAAGCAGTTAAGGCATTCAGCTCCTGGTGAGGGCCAAGAGATGTTTGAGGAACTGAGGTTGCCATGGAAGCAAGAAAGCAGATCTAGGACTTGTCATGAGGGGGCAACCTAGAACACCTCCTGAAGGTGATTCTTGCCAGGAGGGGAAACTGAGGCCATGCTCTGACCAGGAGGCTAGACTGAAGGAGAACACAGGGAACCTGCCAGAGTCTACAGATCAATGCTAGGTCTTGGACATGCAGGCATGGCTCCATGGGCAGCCAGCCTGGCCCATGGTGATGCTTTAGCTTCTGCACACTCTCTAGGCCCCTACTATGCTGTGCAGGAGTCCTTGGGTGATACTGAACTGCTAGCCATGTATTGACACACATGGGGTCACCATGAGTCAGAATCAACCCAAGGGCAAATGGTTTGGTTTTGACTTTAACTTTCTGTGCTAGGCACTGTGTTCTGTGCTATGAAAGGCATTAGGGGTCAGAGAAGATATCTGGGGACCTCTCTCCCATCACCAGGTGAGAAACTGATCTTCAGTTAGGTCTTCATACCACAGCCTTCTATCTAGATATCTCACTAGCTCTTGTCTCTGTTGGATGTAACCTCTGCTCTCCAAACCCCTGGCCCTTTTTTTCTTTTTTGAACATTTTTTTGTGGTTTTGGGGAAAGTTTACAGAGCAAATTAGTTTCCCATTCAACAACTCATACACATTTTGTCTTGTGACATTAGTTGCAATTCCCTCAATGTAACAACATTCTTCCCACTTCCTCCCTGGGTTCTCCATTTCCACTTACCCATCTTTCCTGCCCCTTCCTGCCTTCTGAACTTTGTCTCTGGGCAAATGCTGCCTCTTTGGTCTTATATGTTGATTATTCTGAGGAGCTTGTTCCTCATAGGTGTTACTGTTCACTTTATAAGCCCATCAACTGTTTGGCTGAAACGTGTTCTCCAGCAGTGGGTTTAGCCTCTTGGCCATTTTTAATACTCATCTTCCCACAGCCCCCTTCCCTGGACAAGGACCACCCTGGCTATAGGCCCTGGCCCATTTCCACTCTCCCACCCCCTCAGCCCAGTTTATCAATTTTGTGCCTTCCCTGAATTTTGTGCCCATCTCAACTGCAGGCAGCTTGCCTTGCTCAGGGCACTGCCCCCCAATCTAGCACCCCTTTCTCAGGCTCATCAGGCTCCCCAGGTCCTAATGACCAAGGTTTGATGCCAGTGGATTATGGGGTGGTGACTCAAATCTACCCTTAGAGAGAGGAAAGGCAAGGAGGGCAGGTGTCAGACAAGCAGAAAGATGGGGGCTTAGCAGCAGGCATGAAGGTGGCAACCCCCAGAAATCTTGTCCAGGGCCAGATATGGCTGTGCCTTTCTGCAGAAATACTGGAAGCCTCTCTGCAGGCAGAAAGCCAAGGAGGAAAAACACAAAGCCCAGGGTCACCCTTGTTGCTGAAGGTATGGGAGGGGCAAGCCCCTCTCCTTTATTTCCATCCATTGCTCAGCCCTATCCTTATCCATCTGCTCCCTAGAACATCCTATTCCACCCCTGAGCTTGCCTTTCCCTACACTTTTCTTCCTACCAGTTTCTTCAATTCCCCTTGGGATCCAGGTTCATCATCCTTTGCCCCTCCCCCCAATCCTGACATACAGGATAGTCTGAGCTGGGGGCTGGCCCCAATCAATAGCTGTCCCCAGCCAACACATTTGGGTACAGGAGTTGCCCACTGGGCTCTCAGCCCACCTTTAACATGGCACTCATTGGGGGTGTGCTACTGTCTGATTACCACCTTCTCCCCTGCACAGATCCAGATCATGAGTTCTAGGACGAGTAGATTTGAACCCTTGGTACCAAGCCCAAAATCTGGCTTACAGTAAGAGCTCAAAACAAATATGTGGAATAATAACTAGTAAGATTGTGTCACTTGGGCAATCTGAAAGGATGTGTGTGACTTGTTTCTTTTCTTTTCTTTGGGGAGAGGGGATAAATGGTCTGAGTAACTGTATTAAACCCCCCCAGTCAAAGCCACCTCCTTTTCCCTGCTGGCCTGTGGCCTTCGCCTCCAGTAAGCATCCCCTTGTTAGGCTCTGCCAAAATGCTGCCCTTCCATGCTGGAGGTGAAAGAAGGGGCTTTTGAGCTTGTTTCACCTTGAAGCATGTGCCCACCTCACACACACCTCACATATACCTATCCTTGAGACCTCCTCTTGCTTTGTCCACAGATCCTGCTGTGACCACCCGAGGTGGTATGGGATCTAGGGCCCACCGGTGGGCTAGTGACTGCCTCACTATCCAGGCAAGCTAGACCCCAGCCTCCTGAACCCTCAGCTTGGTGCCAGCCCAAACTTTGGGGGAGGAAGAAATTCCATTGATGAGGGTGACATTGCTGCATCCTTTATGGGTGATTAATAAGGAGAACATGAGGCTGGCTGCAGAATACTGGGGCCTCTCATTTGGTCAGAAACCAAGGACAAAAAAAGAGAGCTATGGGGAAGCCTAAGAGACATGAGTAGGAGAGTGGATATAAGGAATACAGCAGAGGAAGGTTAAATCTAGGGGAGAGAGGCCAGAAACCCAGGGACAGACAGACAGGAATAGAAGACACAGGGAAGAAAGAGACAGGAAAGAGACCAGGAGAGGGAAAAGAGGCAAAGGAGAGGCAGAAACCAGAGAGAAAAGCAGGCAGGGGGGAGAAAAGAGGAGGCAAACCTACAAGCACCAGAAGGCTTTTTGCTGCTTCCCCAGTGCCCCCACATTTCCACCAACACCCCCAGCCTTGAAGACCCACAGGCAGGCCAGCAAAGCCTCAGGACAGTGCTGAGGTGGGGAGCATTCCAACAGGGTCTTGGATCTCAGCCCCACCAGCCTGCCTGACTTCTGACTGGTGAGGGCTCCAAATGCTTGGCCTGACCACGCCCCCGGGGATGCATGCCACCGTGGGCTAGGAACCCAGAAGGGGAGAGGGGCTTCAAGGGACCAGGTTAAGTTGTTGCTCTGAAGCTGGATTTGAGTCGAGGTTAGTTCCCCGGCTGGTCACTCCAAGGAGAGCGCCACGCACTCACGGGTTCTGGCACCAGAGTCCAGGCGCTCTCAGTGCCTCCCAGCTCTCAGCTTCCTGGGATGGCAGCCAGGAACCAAGAGGATCCCCCCCCACACACACACACTCCTGGAGTCAAGAAGGGTTGAATTTGGGAGGTCAAGAGGAGGGGGTGTTTCCTCCTCTTCGCCTCACCGCCGGAGGAAAAACTTTCCCCCCCTCAGGCAGCCTTTTTGCGCCTGTAGCTCTGGCATAGAGGGGAGGGGCTGCGCAGTCCCAGTTTTGGCCAAGCGTGTCAGATCCGCGCAGTGGTGCCCACTTCCCGAAGGCGAGATGTATAGCTAGCTGGGCCCGAAACCTGTCCTAAGGTCTTTGGGCCCCAAACCTCTCCCACGACCGCCTTCTCGGCTGGAGCGCACAGCCGCGCGCAGGAGCGCCCGCGGGAGCTGAGGCTGCTCTACCCACCCACTGCCCCAGAGTCCATCTTTGCCTTCTCTATCGCTGGCTAATACCAGCCTGAAACCCAACTCCCCAGAGTCAAGCCACCAAAGGCCAGTCCGCGCGCCCGGGAGCCCTGCGCTCTCAGGAGTTGGGCTAAAAACCGCATTTCCGAGCCGCAGGTACTCAGCTGCGTCTGCCCTGAAGCCAGCGCCGGGGAATCTCGGAGTTAGAGGGGCCGGCAGGCTCTGACTATCTCCGCATGTGATGCCTACGTAGGGCCGCTCTGGGGTCTACACCTGCGCCTGCCGACTCCGACCCAGTGCCCTGCCCCACGCCCCCGCTGGGCTCACCTGGCCGTTCTTGCAGAGGTCCGCCCACATACTGGTGCCGTCGCCACCGCGCATGAGGACATGGTAGGTGAAAAAGTAGGTGCCAGGAATGTTGCACGTAAACTTGCCGCTGGCCGCGTCGTAATTGTTGCCTAGGTTGGTGACCACGTCGTCGAACTTGAGCACCTCGTAACCCTCGTGGGGGTTCTTGAGGCCAGCGTAGAAGGCCACGCGCGGCACCGTGGTGTAGGTGGCAGTGCTGATGGCGCCGCTGCCCCCTGTGCCCGGTAGCCCGGGGGGCCCTGGCTTGCCCGGCTCACCCTTCTCCCCCGGTGGCCCCATGGGTCCGGGAGGACCCGGGTCCCCAGGAGGCCCAGGGGGGCCTGGCTTGCCGGTGCGGCCCGGCTTCCCCTGGGGGCCCTGCACCAGCGTGGAGGGCGGTGGCGCGCCGCTCTGCTCGCTCAGGGCGTCGCCGCCGTCGGGCCGCGCGCCGGCGCCGGGGCCCCGCGCGGGGTAGGGGTCGCACACCATGCGGCAGGTGCCCAGCATCTCATAGTGGCCGTCAGGGCCGCCCGAGCTCACCAGCACGGGGATTAGCACCACCAGCACCAGCAGCATCACCACGCCCGCGGCGGCCGCCAGCAAAGTCTTCCGGCCAGCGCGGAGCCTGGGGAGCGCCGGGCCACCCGGCCGCGCCGTCGGGGCAATGGTGCCGGCGAGGGGGGGCGCGGCAGGGCGCCCGCGCTCAGGGGCGGTCCGGCTGGTATGCGGGCATGGGGCCGGTTCGGGGCGCCGCGCAATGCTGGCTGCGCTGCGGAGCCCAGCAGCAGACTCCTGCCTCGCACCTCCCTCCCGCTGTGCGGCCGGACTGAGAGCCGCGGCCGCCGCCTCCCGCTTTGCTGCTCCCGCCTCCTAGCCCCGGGGCCACCGCCCCCTCGGCCCGGCCCTGTCCCGCCCCTCGGCGCCGCTCCGCGAGCTCGAGGGGTGTGGCTGAGGGCGGGGCCGGTGCCTAATTGGGCCCCGGGCGGTAGGGCCCCGCCCCCTCTCAGGGGGCGCGAGAAAGGAGGCGGAGCTTCAGAGGCAAGGGCTGGAGCCTTGGAGAAGAGGGAGACTGTAGGAGCGAGAGATAGAAACACGAAAATGAGGAGGAGACTAGAAGCTGAAAAACAGGGAAAAGCTCTAAGAAGGAAGGGAAGAGTAGAGACCAAAGCGCGAACGGAAGAGGGGCCACAGGGAGAGTTATAGAGCGCAGAGGGGACCGAGAGAGGAGAGACCTCGAGGCTCGTCATGAGGAAAACCGAGATGGAGACTGAAAGGCACGAGGAGCTGCGTCCTGTAGGGGGCGGAGGCGAGAAAGGGTTGCCCCAGTCTTCAGGGGACAAAGAAAACGATTGAGGGGAGATCGGAGCAGGGAGCGAGAAGGAAGGACAAGCAAGAGCGTTATGAGAGGAGAGTAGAGGAGATGGCAAAAGGAGGATGGAGGAGGGACTATCTCGCACCCTAGCCACGCAGACCACCTGTCCGGGGATCGTCACTTGTCAGGGTGCCCAGCGGGTGCCTGAGTATTAGGGGCAGCAGTCCCCTCTCTCTTCTGTCTCCTTACTGCTCCCAGACCCGCCTACCCCCCACCCCGGAGGGCTAGGATCTTGGATTGTCTCCTCGCTTCTTGTTGCCCTTTCTTCACTCCAGGCCAAGCCAGGCTGCTTTTTCTTGAGGCCCCTTTCCTCCATCTTCCTCTGATCACTCCTCTTACCCTTGAGTCTAGACAAGGAAAGAATGAGGATCCTAAAGAAGTGAACACCTCCACGTTATTTCTCCATCTGAGAATAAGAAGTCATCCCTGGGTGGTGGCTCCCTTTCCCAGATACCTGGATGGGTTGACACCACCCAGCTTGGCAGCCCTCCTCCTTCAGCCTCAGCGGGGTCCCGAACTACTTTTTTCCCGTCGGGTTGTGTGAGGCTCTCCTCCTCCTCAAATTCAGTAAAGTGTTTAGGTTGCATAAACTGAAATGTGTCTACTTCCATCAAAATATTTGCCACATTATTTGAGGCTCAGCTCGATGCGCTTTGCTCCCTTTATCCAGCCCACCAGAGAGGGCTCCGCCATTCAGAGCAGGGCTGGTTGCTGCAGAGGGACTCACCAGCCTCTTCCTGTTCCCCCAGAGAGGCCCCTTCCCTGCTCACCCATTCCCCTTGCGGACCCATTGTGAAGTCCATAGAATTTTCTGGCATCTCCTACCCATAGTTGAGCTGTTTAGCCATGTTAAGGGCTAAGAGGAGGCAAGGGGCACGCAGATATCAAAAGGGGTGCTGTAAGAGAGGACCCTCCAAGACGAAGACTGAGCCCAGGTTAGTGTTCCCCACTCCTAGGAGGAAGCTTAAAAATTCAGTAAATGCCATTTATTCAGGGCTTACTTTTTGCCAGACTCTGTGTTGAATGCTTTATATACGTAATCACACTTGATCTTCATAACAATCCAAAGAGGTAAAGCTCATCCTTACTCTCTTTTTGCAGATGAAGAACTGGGACTCTGGGACGTTAAGGTACTTGCTTGAAACCTCACAACTAGTAAGTGGTAGAGCCAGGATTCAAACCGGCAGCATGGCTCCAGCTCTTCCTCCTTCAACTCTGCTGGGGCTCCAGGCAAAGGGATGAATGTGTTCAGTGAAGAGAGTGAGGGACTCAGGGCAGCTGACCGCCTCTGGCTCGGGACTGGCGGTTCTCAGCTCTAGGCTATCAATCTAGTTTCCTGTCCTCCACGGCATAGTCCCCAGTATATCTCCCCTAAGAGCTACAGGGCTGGTGACCCGAGGGACTCGCGTACAGTCATTAGTTATGATTTGTACAGACCCCAGTTCCGTAGTACACATGCAAACGGCCCCTCCTCCCCCAAGTCTCTGGAGCTCGTGCGCCCCCAGGAGCCCTCCCAGAAGCCACGGGGGAACAGCGGCTGGCTGCCCAGGCCGAGGGGAGGCGGGAGCAGCCACACACACACACCCCGCGCGCCCGCCGTGCACTGGAAAGGCGCGCGGGGTGGCAAGCGCCCCGCCCCCCGCCTGCCTGCTCGCCCGCTCCCCCCAGCGCGGTGTGGCATCTCTGTCAGCCCAGCCGGATTCTCCCCGCTTCGCTGGAGTGGAAAATAACGGCTTCAAACTTTGCAGAGAGGAGCTGGTGCCAGCACTTTAATTAACAGCCATCTTGGCCTGCGAACTTGGGCCACCCGCTCCGCGCCTCCCACAGGCTCGCCGGGCACCGCCCTGGCCCCACCCAGGTCCTGAAGGAGACACCTCTCTCCTGTTCCCAAGTATGGGGCCCTCAAAGCTCCAGGTCACTTTTACCAGGGACGCTCCAGGTCGCTTTTACCGGGGAAATGAAGTCCTGGCTGATTGGTGGACGGTGCTGCCTTGCAGGAGGGCTTCTCAGCTAAATTCCTGAAGACCCACAGATGCCCACCACCCCAAACTCTCTAAAGCCTGGCGATTGAAGATTTTGGAATGAGAACTGTGTGCTGATCCCAGCTATGATTTTAGGCAGGTCACCTGACCTCACAGGGTCCAGTGACCTCCACAAAAAAGGGTTGAGGATTAAATGAGATATAACACATGTGAGGCACTGGGCCCAGCCTCTGAGATAGGTATGCACTAGGCCACTGGAGCTCCTATGCGCCATGTAAATAACTGGTGGCTGTAATTGAGGCTAAGAAGGCCTTCCCACCACTCCAGGCCTTCAGTCTCTTTGCCCCTTCTGTCTTCCTGCAGACTGTTGTATTTATTTAGCATTAGAAGAGGGGAGCAGTGGACCTATCCTTCCAGGTTCAGAGACTGACCTAAACTAGATGGTGAGGAAGAATTCCTGGAGTCCTAGCTCTTAGGCTAACCACCAGGGACCCAGCTTTTCAGAAGGGGTGAGTATATGTCTGAGGATGGATCAGCACTATCTGTAGTTGAGATGCCCCAGGGTTTAGTTTTGTTTTCCCTCCTGGGGTTGGGTGCTGTTTCACTCCTATAGCCCCAATCATTCCAGGGTGGTATGTGGAGGGTGCAGGGATGTGTAAGTCTCTTTATTTATGCATGGCTGACTTTAGGAAACTGGGTGGCTGTTCCATGTTATTTTGGGGTTCTTTGAATGAATGTGAGTGGGTGTGGATGTGTAAGAGACTGTGTCTGTGTTAGTGTGAGTCTGGGTTTGTGAGTGACAAAAGGGGGTGCTGTGCCCTGACTCATCGGCTAGCAAATCTGCATTCATTTATCCACTGGTTCATTCAGTAAATATTTACTGAAAGCACCAAGCTCTGCACTGCAAGATGGTAGTGGTCGTGTGTCTAAAACGAGTTTGGCAGGGCACATGGGCAGAAAGAAGTTATAAATGCTATGAAAATTATTGTAGGTAACATTTTTTGAGCACTTATTTAGGGCAAAGTCCTCTTCTAAACACTTTATGTGGATTCTGTCATTTGGATTTAACAACCTATTATAATGGATTAAGAAGTATTGTTGTTAGTTGCCATCAAGTTGCTTCCAACTCATAGCGAACCTATGTACAACAGAATAAAACATGGCCTGGTCCTGTGCCATCCTCACAATCATTGCTGTGCTTAAGCCCATCATTGCTCCTGCTCTGTCCATCCACCTCATTGAGTATCTTCCCCTTTTTCACTGACCCTCTACCTCACCAAGCATGATGTTCTTTTCCGGTCACTGACATCATGACCAAAGTGTGTGAGATCAAGTATGGCCATTCTTACTTCTAAGGAGCATTCTGGCTGTACTTCTAAGACAGCTTTGTTCATTTTCCTGGCAGTCCATGGTATTTTCGGTATTCTTTGCCAACACCACAATTCAAAGCCATCAACTCTTCTTCGGTCTTCCCTATTCATTGTTCAGCTTCCACATGTATATGAAGGTATTGAAAACAGCAAGGTTTGGATCAAGGGCACCTTAACCTCAAACCTTGGATCAGGATTAACCTCAAAGTGACATCTTTGCTTCTTAACCCTTTAAAGCTTTTGCAGCAGATTTGCTCAATGCAGTACATTGTTTGATTCATAACTGCTGCTTCCATAGATGCTGATTGTGGATCCAAGTAAAAGGAAACCCTTGACAACTTAACTCTTTTCTCCATTTATCATGATGTTGCTTATTGGTCCCGTTGTAAGGATTTTTGTTTTCTTTATGTTGAGGTGTAATCTATACTGAAGTCTTTGATCTTCATCAGTAAATGCTTCAAGTCATCTTTGCTTTCAGCAAACAAAGTTGTATCGTCTGCATATTGCAAGTTGTTAATGAGTCTTTCTTCGATCCTGATATATAATGGATTAAAAAGTATTACATCACTTATATTATTTAATATCAATTACCCCATGAGGTAGGTATTGTTATTTCCCCATGTTATAGCTGAGGAAACTAGACTTGGGAAGAGGTTTGAATGACATGTTATGAAGCACAGATGAAAAACTCTCCCAGGGGAGTCCAAGAGGATTTTACAGAGGAGGTGTCCCTTCTTCCTTCCATCCATCCATCCTCCATCCTCTACGCATTCTATAATCCCATAATAATTGACTCTTGTTAACATAGGACACATCACATCTCTTCTTAGCACAGGGCACCAAGAAAACCTTCTGTCCTCATGGAGTTTATAGTGTATTGCAGGAAGCTGGACAATTGAATAAGCAATTGCTATTCAGCCTGACAAGTGTGCTGCCTGGGAATGTGTGGGCTGCTATGGAAACACTCAACAATATCACCCAAATTCATCTGAAGGCAGGGAATCATGGGGGGCTCCCTGGAGGAGGAGATATTTAAATTATGCCCTGATAGGCCAGGCACTGCTGTAGAGT